TTTTTTTTTTTTGTCTTTTTTCTAGTACGAACAATCACTTTCACGTTAACGTAAAGTAGTCAACGTGTTCGACCAACTGTAGCTCGATACTCGGAACCACAATGTTGCGAACCGAATATTTTGCTTGAATTAAATGCTACCACGTCATGTATCAAACTCATTGCTCGAATTCCGAACATCAACTTTTGTTCACTAATTTCCAGTGATTTCCAGCCTATGTAAAACGATCGAAACGTCAACTATTTTTAAACATCACGATATTATTACTAATGCGACGAAGCCTAATCGCGATTTGTCGCTCCCAGGAATGTGTTCATCAAGCGCCCTTTAACGTTCTTTAATCACACGGAGCGATGGATGAAATGAAGAAGAAACAAACGTAAAGAACGGGCGACAGAACAGAAACTAAGGGAAAGGAAAAAAAGAGAGATAACCAGCAGAGTAAAAAATCTGCCGTGTGCGTTCTGTTCCAAGGGAACTGAAACGAACGACGAAAAAGAAACGACGTCACTGCGTTATGCTACGACGACTTGCATCTGTCTCTAGACTAGAAAGAAACGTGCCATCCTGCGACACGTTAGATTTACGGGGTGGGAGTTGGGGGAGGAGCTCCTTGCGAAGATAAGAAAAAAAAAAATATATGATAATCCAGTCACGTTGGATACCTTCCGCGAATTTCTTCGGATAACGAAACATTTAGATAAGGATCTTCTCATCGTACGTGCACACGTACGACAACATTATTGCCTCTTCTCGCATGCAGCAAGTAAAACATAATTCAGTTTCTGTGGTGCGAAGCTAAAAGGTCCACTCAGTCCTGCCGATGATCGAGCATGGGGCAGAATATTTCAAGACGAATTCGCCACGTGAATCTTGATGAGACAATCGTCATCAAACCATGAATACTTCGATAAAAGGATTGCATTCTGCTTGCGGTGGTGCAGGGATAGGTACACGCTTTTCCAAGTCCATTCGAGAAAGGAAAGCGTCGATACGTGGTGGTTCTGCAGTCGGTGTGGTCGCAGCAGGTACAGTTGCTCCTGGTGCTAATTGCAGACATTCTGCTGGAGTTAACTGGAAATGCAATTTTCACAATTATCGTAATTCAACTCATCAAATCACAGATCAGAGAAATCTTTTTCAAGATATTCTCGTGAAAATTTATTCTCTTAAAATTTTGGTTTGGAATCCTTACCAAGGCTGCCTGCTGAGGAATTCCGATCCCACCAACATTCGCCGGATTATAATAATTAGTTGGACTGACAGGCGGTGAAGGATAGGGCCAATAGAAAATCGGAGGTGGATAAGGTGCTGCAAACTGTGGCGGTCCACGCGGTAGCATTGCAGCAGCAGGTGGAAATATCGCGACTGGTGGGGGTGGCAACATCGTGCCTCCTAGATTGAAAAGAAAAGAAGAAAATGAATGTTCGAGCAAGTTCATTCGATAAGTAACGTTATAATAAGTATACCACCGTTCAAAAAAATTGGGTTATTCAATGATAGATTAGAATATATGAAATCATCATTTTTGAATGGTAGTATAGTATGAGCTGATTTACATTAACCATCTGAAAATTCCTCTCTTCATATGAAAGAGGAACTTTGAGATTTCTAAGAACTACGAAAGAAATAAGAATATTAAAAAGTACCCTTGTATATAATTGCCTTGTTTCTTGGCTACTTTAACTAGTTGACAGTACGAGCCTGAAATATTACAATAGAAAGCACGTACAAGAAACTTTAATCGCGATGCACAATTTGCTTCGTGGATTAATCTGTGAATAAATCTCCCGATCAAAAAATAAAAAAAGAAAAAAAAATAAATAAAAAAGACTCAATGTAATACCCATAGATTCTATGTATATACAAACGTAAGAAGAGTGCCCAACTATGTAACCACACCACGATCTGTGGTCGATGACATCGTGCAGAATATCTCAATACACTGATTGCTTGGTTCGTTGCTTTTTTATGATTTCAAGCTTGTAAATCTTTCACATTTGCTTTTCTATTCGCGTGTTCCCGCAACCTGCACGATTTCACGATTAATCTGACGATTTTCTACGATCCGTGCGAAACAACTGTTTTTCACCAAGAAAAACGATTGACCCCGCATTCAATGGGGAAATTTTATAAATTTAACTTTCTGATTTGACTTTCTTGCGAGATTCTTCTTGCGTGTGTTTGCTCGGATCGTATAGAAACACGTCAAAGGAATAATGATTTGGACTTGGCCTACCTGGAAGCACAGAAGTTAGTATTTGTAGATCCCGCTACCAAACAGCAATCGACACTGCACCATTGTAACACGATATATACGTATATTTTATATATATATATATGTAGCACCAACTTGCGATTTCGACCCTCTGCCAAATCACCAAAAAATTCACTCTCCCCTTCTCATTCTCTCTTTTTCTCTCCA